AGGCCGAGATACAGCCAGCTGATGAAGGGTTAATACTAAATACCCATGCGTTCAAACAAGCTACGTATTTGGATGACCAAGGACACATTCCAAAAGCTGTGTAGAGTATTGCGAGACAGGAGGATTTCTTTGGTAACAAAGAAAAAGAATACTGAGCTGTTACGTGACATCTGACCTTCTTTACGGCAGAAAATATTGAACGATATCTTCAAAGATGAAGAAGAGACTCGAGGAGAAAGAGATGTGGTTCTACAGAAAGATACTAAGGATATCATGGACCGAGCGTGTGAGCAACGATGGGGTCTTAGAGATGTTACAAAAGAGAAAGCTTATACTTTACATCAGAAAGAAGCAGTTGAAGTTTCTGGGAAACATAATGAGAAAGGAGGGCCTGGAGAATCTGATACTCACGGGTCGAATAGAGGGAAAGAGAGACAAGGGAAAGCAACGCGTGGCATACCTGACGAGCTTGAGCAGGTGGATGACAGAACGCGATCTGGGGGAGGAAGCAAAGGGAAGGAGCTTGCTGAGAGCTGCAAGGGATAGAGGAAAGTGGAGTGACATGGTCGCCTACGTCCTGAAAGGACATGGCACATAAAAAGAAAGAAAAGTGAGAACTTCGGAAGAGAAAGAAGCTCAACAATCTGAACTATTTAAATATATTTAATATTTAAATATATTTAATATTTAAATATATTTAATCTTTAATTCAAATAGTAAAAAGAGAAATAAAGATAAAAAAATAGTTGCAGGCAATGTACTTAACTTACGTGAAAGTCGTCTGGTTATCAACATTCCTTGTAGAAGGAAACGTTCTTTTTAGTCTTCGGCTAGTTTCTTTAGGTAGTAGTAATTTCTCTTCAGGTTGTTGGCCCCGTTCCTCTGAAACCTGATGGCTTATGGTGAAGGAGCGGCGTTGTTTCGTGCCGCCTGAATAACATCGTGGATGAAAAGAAAACGGCCACTTAGGCTTAAGTTTCAACATATGGTTTTTGGTGTTATTGTAAATCATGTAAACAGCGTCAAAGTATCAGAAAGGATTCATTCTTTGCTAAGAAAAGGCGACCACTAAAAAGCAACTGATCTGTTATGTCTGGCCGGAGTTGCAAAATGGCGAAGCACGCATGCATAATAGAGCAGTTCTATTTTGGGATGGTGGTATTGCACTCAATTTGAAAGTTGAGGTTTGATATGTTAAATAATGACAAAATATTTTCCAAATCATTACCGTTTTTTGAGGGAACGAATTTAAAAGATTAAGTTTAGGTTCAAAATCGTAGCGTTGAACTTTTATTCCGGTGATCAGTGAAAGCCTTATAAAATTTATAAATTTACTGAAGCTTTACAAATTGTATATTGACAAGATGCATGGCACAAACACATTATTATTAAATCATTTTGCCATCAAATAATACCTTCATTTACTTCAAAGGGAAATTACACTGAACAATTTAGCTATATTATGATGTAATGTTTACAGTGCAGTAGTATTAATTTGACTTTTGAATAATCAATGCAAATTTAAAACAGGTTGTCTCATAATTTTTTCCCAGCAGTATTATGATGTTATATACACTTTTATCCCTTTTTCGTTTTTATTAATTAGGATTTAATAAATAATATGAATCTTATTCATTGAGTAGCTGTTACGTTGCTCAAAGAAATCTAGTAACCTTTCACTAAGGCTTTACTGAACTTAATTCACAGCAGCAATCAACAAAGGAAGAAGAACGCAGCTTTTAAAGAGGAATGGGGACGTGTGAAAAAGTCACGTGGACAGTAAAGATAGTTTCCTATTTGACGTGGACAGTAAAGATAGTTTCCTATTTTCTTTTCTTTTATTTTCTTTACGAAAATATAACAGTAGCCTTTTTGTAATCTTTTACATTTTTTACACAGTTTTTACTTATCAAATCCAATAAAAAATTGCATACTTTGTTTGTGGTTATTCATAATTCGAATTTTAGTTTAAATGTATTTTCAATTCAATATATCTAATACAAAATACCTTATTTGGACTTATTCTTTAAATAGTAAAATTCTGAAATTATAATTAATCTCTATATATTTTTTCAGACGATATTTAAACCTTACCCTGCTCAAAAATTGGTAAAAGCTATTAATGTCGTTGGTGTCAGTACTTTCCACATAAAACCTCAGATTTCACTCTGGGTGCAATGTTGATTTTCTAAAAAAAAAAAAAAAGTGAAAAACCAACCTGGTTTAATGAAGAACCCTAGTAAAATGCTTGATACTTGGGGTATTCACTGTTGTATATAAAAATTTTATTTTTATTTAAAGAAAGAATTAAAAAAAATGTCAATTTAAATGTAAGACCGTCTAGATATTGTTTTTTTTTTTTGTTTTTTTTTGTTTATTTACACGTCGGACGGTGTGTGTAAAAAGGAAAAAGCTGTGCGTTTTTTATGACCTTTTTGGGTCAAGATTTGCCGCCAAAATTGTTTGCCAAATTCTGATTTTCTTGTGTAAGATTTATGACCCTCAGGAATAGCCGCCAAAAGTGAAATTTTTAGAAGGGCCTTTTTTCATATATTGGCCAATGAAAATTGAGTTTTCGAGGCCCGTAGAGATTCCGGATGACCCCAAGTGGAGCCGACTTTTTCAAATAAAAGAGAGGACATTAAGAAACGATCAGGAGAAACAAAAAATCACGAAAGGGAACCAAGGCTGAGACGACACGCAGTTCGCAGACCACTTAACACCCTCTCCCTACATTGACCGGCAAGTGGGCCATAAATCAGCCTTTCTCCAACTACCAAAATCAATCCGGCCTGCTGTCAACGAGAATTCTTCAAAGAAAGAAGAACCAACATTTTCCTAAAGCAATCCGGCCTGCTGTCTACGAAAATTCTTCAAGGAAGGAGGTGGGTGCTTTGTGCGTTCTGCTAAGTGTTGGTCTCTCTAAAAACTTTGTCCCTTTTTTTTGTATTTTTTGTAAAGGGTCTAAAAACTTTATCCCTTTTTTTGGGGTTTTTGTATTTTTAAAGGGTCTAAATTTTCAAAAAACGGAGTTGGACTAAACAACTAATTAAAATTTCATAGCTTGTTTCTGTGGGTATTTCCTTTTTAGAAACCCCAGGAAAATATTGTTATCCTGCCGTGTTAGGCGCGCAGAAGGAAATTTTTGTGCAACCTTTCTTGTTCTTACCTTTGTTTGTGCTTATTGTAAAATAATTGTACAATAAATGTTTTTCCTGTTTTTAAAATTTTACGCAGTGATTTGTCTTGTATTTTTAACTCGCAGTTATCGTTTATTCTGCCAGCTAAATTTTGTGTCTGGCACAAGGAGTTGGTAGGAGAGTGAGAAAAAAAAAGGAAAGAAACAAACAAAAAATTTTATAAGTATTTTCTGAATTTATTTGCCGTGTCGTCCACCATTTCCCGTTAATTATAATAAACATATTTACCTTCAGGAAACAGAGAAAAAAAAATCTTACGCCGCTGAAGTGAAGGATTCCATAAAATAATCTGTCAAAGTATGCTTCACTTAAACGGCGTTAAATAAATTTCATTTTAACCGTAACTCTCATTCGAAACAGACCATTTGAGCTAAATGCCTTTGAAAATGAAATACATGGTTATCATTGGTAGTCCCGTGTTTTCAACATTTATAATAAAAAGTAAGCTACGGTACCGGAGCTAAAATATGCAGAGTAAAGCCGCATGTACATTAAATTATAACGTTCTCACTTACCTCCGTTGTTTATGGCAGTGCTTGGAACGAAAGTGTGTAGAGTGTGGTCGTCCTATTACACCGTAGAGTTTCAATCAGTGTCCATGAATTGGGCAGCAGTTTTTGGCCAATAACAACATTGCCCAGGTCCGGCAGTCACCGTATTCCTCAGATCTGGACCATTGCGACTTCTTCCTGTTACCAAAAATCAAATCCCACTTGAATGGAACAAGATTTCAAGATATCCAATAAATGCAAGAAAATGCGACAAGTGTGTGGCTTCAGAAGATGACTACTTCGAAGGAAATTAAATGCCGAATTCATATACGTTGTAGTTTTCTTTTTATAGCTCCATTCATTTGATGAAATCTTGTATACACTGCGTTTATTGAGCACTTACCTTTTAGAAAACTAATGAAGCAATTCGCAAAAATATTAGAGAATACGATGGTACAGTCGCTCATAACGCCCAAAAGGAGTTCCAGGAATGCTTCCGTCAATGGAAACAAAGCTGGATATAGTCTATGGCTTCAGAAGTGAACTACTTCGAAGGAGGTTAAATGCCGAGTTGATATGTGTTGTAGTTTGCTTTTTCATAGCGCCAGAACTGATACTTTTTATAAGACTTCGTATTATTTGGTCTTACTGATTTTACGCTGGTTAAGGGATAGCAGTTAATTTTACGCCGCTTAAGTGAAGGATTACCCACAATAGCTCTCGACACAGAAGTAAATCTTGGCTTGAGGACAGAAATACAGCTTATTCGTAATGTCATCTTTCTTTCTTTTATTCCCTGAAACTATGAGAAAAGGATGAAAAAAGGTCGAGACTTATTCCGAATATTATAAGTTAACCGAACATAAGAACGTAATAATTTTGTTAAAAAAAAAGAAGCTTTTTTTCTGATTTAATGTTCACCCAGTATAAATTCCAAGAGCCACTAAGGTAGAGATTAATCTCTGCAGATAAGAGGAGGCAGTAAGAGCAGATTATGAAGATCTAAGATAGGCAACTGACGTTACACTTGAAAAGATCAGATTGTAGTTAACCGGGAATTCCAAAATGTACAGATTGACTGATTCGTTTTTTAGGGTTTATCAACCATTTCCCGGTTATTTAAACCACAAAAAATATTTCTAAGAATTTTTAAAGAAAATATTGGTTTAGTGACACACGTGGATTCATACCTTTCCCAAGGATATTTAAGCGTATATTAAGTGAATATAACAAACCCAATGGAATTGGAACTTGGCTCTACGATTAAAAATTCTGAGCCATTACCCACTACGGCATCCACATATTCCAGATTACAGTACCTGGTATTCCCAAGCAGTCACCCATCAACGTACTGACCAGGTTCGACGTTACTTAACTTCAGTGTTCATACAGGAAATGATGTTTCATCGAGATATAGCCGTAAACCTTAACAATGGTATACGACGTGAATGAGGAGGATTTGAACCTTTGTACGTGGCATAGCACGTTCTAGGTGTGGCGGTCTGAACTGGCGAAATTAAGTAGGTCTCTGAACGGACAGTCCTCGGAGACCCAAATGATCAACGCAGTCGTCCCCCAAGATTAGCTTCTCGGTCAAACCCATTTTTTACTTTACATAGATAATCTCTAACACTTTCGCTCCGGCCCGTCAACCGGAGATTATTCGACCAGTCCGCTGGTTTAATCCTGCTTCCTGCCCACGTTGTTTGATCCAGAAAGCAGAAGTGATGTCCGTCCATTCACGGTCGACTGAAGATGTAGACACGGCTGGGGAGTCTGCGCTAAAAAATTTAGAATGCAGCAAAAAAAAAAAAAAAAGAAAAATTAATATCTGCAGAAAGCCGGACAAACATCGATTCAATGGTTGGATTGGTAATGTCTTTTATATAGCAGAAAAGAATAGTAGAGAAGAGAAACGGGTTACAGAAAAGAATCATTTATGGCCCTTTAGGCTTAAGCGTTGATACCGCCAAAAGTGTTTGATGTTTTTTTTTTTTTGTATACTTGGAGAGGATTTACATATATATTGGCCAATGAGAAAAAAAGTTTTATTATATGGACTGTTATCAGCGATGAAGGAAAAACAGACAGAAGAAAAAAAACAATGTGCCGTATTAGAATCCGCACTTCAAAGGACGAGGGCATCAAGGTGGCACAAGGCCGGTTTAACTTCAGAGTTGACAGATTCCTGGCAGATCTTTCATCCCCAAAACCTAAATTTGCTTTAAAGATTCTAAGAGCCCTAGAGAAAACAGGTTGCAAACACACACACACACACACACACACACACACACACACACACACACACACACACAACACACACACACACACACACATCCTGTTTGACACAATGAAAACAACGGATGTGTGTGTATTTGAAAAATTTCCGCCTTTGTACCACGTGATGCCCCATAATGGGGGGGAATGGACTATTGTTCAAATACTTTGAAGTCTGGAGGAGGTCCATCAGAGGTTGGGCGACATCAGGAACTATTTCAGTCAATCAGAGCGAGCGAGTCAGTCAAGTCGAGTTCAGAGGCAGTCCGAAACAGAGTCGCGTTTTTTGACAATTACTACTAAACCTGATTGTTCGTACTAACACTTTCTACTTCTCTGTATATATTCCATTTTTGTAATATATCTGTGTTATTCCATATCCGTGTTCGAGTTCTTCTTTATTGGTTCTACCCGTGGACCATCACCCGGGGTAAAAGGAACCGGACTATAACAGTAATCTTGTTATTCCGTTCTCCAAGTGTTTTCCTTTTTTTTTTCTATTTTTGAAAGGATTTTTTTTGTATATGAGTCCATCTTTTATCAAATTATTTGTGACATATTTTTCCTTCTTTCTGTGACTAATCCCTTTTTTTGTTACCTCGGAAATTGTTATCCCTATTTTGAGGCGCACAGAAGGAAATGTTTTGTACAACACTTGTATTGTACCTTTTTTTCTTCATCATCTCAACTGAAAATAAATGTATTTTCCTTTTGAAATTTTACGCAGTGGTGGTCTTGATCTAGACTTTTGTGTCTCTTGTGACTTGCTGTTTCTACTAACTGATTTTCTTTACCAACTTGAAGTTGGTAGGAAAGTAAACATTTTTATATATTGCACAAACAGTTTTGTTACTGCGGCTTGATTTTTATACAGGTTCCGCCTGGGGAAATCAACTAAATTCTGTAAAAGCAACAACAAAAACTAGCTGCGGGACCCATGCAAGCAGCGTGTTGAGAGATGTGGCTTTATATATACTTTTTAATCATCTCCTCCCAAGCAAGGCAATGAAGCCACTAAGACGCAGTGGGTTACTGAATATGAAATTATATGAGAAAAGGAAGAAAAAACACCATTAGAAAGTGAACAATAAAAGAACAAGAGGACAGAAAACGACGATTGACATTGCATTTAAATTTTTGAGGATCAAAGTTGACAGGGAAGAAAGAAGCCGGAAGATAGTTATACAAACGATAAGTGTGATAGAAGAAACTGTTAGCATAAATCTTACTGCTGCATGTGAACATTTCAACTGTAAAATATGAGACCTTACCGCCAATCTAGTACTGCGCCTCAATTCATAATGTCTAGATACTAAAGAGGAAAGTTCATCAGAATAATTACCATGAAAGTATTTATAAAAAAGACACAAGGAAGGTACGTTACGAAGATAGGAAGGTGACAGACGCCGAGATGCTATGTCAGGACCAATAACATTGTAGTTTCTCATTTGGATTTTATAAAGGAATTCTAAATATATAGCAGAAGCCCCAGACCGGATGTGGTAGAAATATTCAAAGCAAGGACCAATGGTAGATTGGCGAGAAAAAATTGTCTAGAACGACATAGTCAACAATCTTCTCTAGAAACAGACCTAGCAATTTATTCAATATAATCTTTCCGATTCGTGTCAGCGAGAAACGTTAGTCCGAGAAGTAGTAGTGAGTCACTTTGCTGAAAGTCTACAAAAGTGAGCCCAGATTTATTAGGACGTATTGGTCATGCCAGGCATGAAAGTATTATTCTTTTTTTCCCCTCTTACGAAATAAACTCATTCAGTATTTGATTGTTCTGTGGCACTCAACATTTCATAGGTGAACCATTTAAGGAGAACTTTTAACTGTATAAGTAGATAAATCGTTTTCTTCTTTTTGAAAGTGGGCATCACTGACCGGAGCCTGAAGAGTGATTCACGTCGTCTCCAGACCACACCTCAAAAGGCATCGAGTTGGATCTGGTCAAGATCCCAAATAAACAAATTTAATTAAAACCGTGTTCACAACACAATGCAACTTCCGACGTGAAACACATCGGGTTAACTTGCATTCTACGTCATTGATAACAGTTGCTACAAGCGCGTTGTGTATTGGTTAACGATCAAAAGCAAACATTTCTAAAATAACGCTGAAAATCTAACTTGGAGTTGAAAAAATCGCGGAGACTGACACGTCTACACAAAAAACAATACCCTGTCCGGTGGAAAAATCCTCTGGTGGCGTCAGGGGTGGCAGTACCGCCTTAGCCACCAAAAGTGTGTTACCTCCCCTGGTTGGCGGTATAGTGCTTTCACATGCTGTATGAAGAAAATTGAATAATTTTTGTTTTCTTACTCTCATTTTGCCTCTTGACATACAAAAACTAAATTAGGTAACTAGGTTGTATACTGCTGGCAAGGTTTTCAGTCAATGCAAAAAGATAGCGACTATTATGCGTGGAAAGACGTATTAAGAACAAAAGGACGGAAATTCGAGGCAAATATGCGCAAATCCGCCGCCAAATGGCAGCAATTCTGATGAATATGAACAATTACAGCAAGTTGTGGAAAATCGTCTTGTTTTGCTTTTGAATGACACAGGCTGGCGATGTATGTGTTAGAAATGAAGAAGAATTGTCGTTTGTCTACAGATAGCAACGATTCACACAGCAAAGGACTTATGTTGTTAGATTCTAAAAACGACATTCTAAATTAGTAGGTTCCAGATAACTTAGTTTTTTATATGGCCCTAGGAAAAACACAACTAAGTGGAGCTAGATATATATTATTAAGAGCTTCATATATATATATATATATATATATATATATATATATATATATATATAATAAAAAAAAAGCTTAAACTCTAATATTCCATGGTCATAATTTATTCCATTGGAATCGTAAATACGAACCAATTCATCAGCCCTACAAATTCAAAAAGAAAACAGAAAAACAACTCCGGAAATAAAAAATAAAATTTAGAGAGTGTAACTATGAGAGTGTGGAACGGGTGTTAGAGAAAGGGAACTTACTCTGTCCTGGACATTGAATTCTACCTGGATTCTATCCTCTTGGAATTTTTTTAATACAAAATATATATGTATGTGTATGCATGTATGTATATATATTTATATATTTTGTGTATATTTACCACTAATATATATATATATATATATATATATATATATATATATGTGTGTGTGTGTGTGTGTGTGTGTGTGTGTCTGTATGTATAAAAACGATATATATATATATATATATATATATAATGAAAATACAGCTTTAAGATATGCTATATTTATGGGTTAAAATACTCAATATCAGAGATAGAGCGTATGTAAATATAAAAGTAGATACTGAAATCAACAACCATATATATATATATATATATATATATATATATATATATATATATTATTTATTTAAAAATATGATTCCAACTCGTGACATAAGAGGTCTCATGTTTCAAAACAAGAGCCGAAAACTTCAATATAATTATTTGAATTAAAATTGAGTTAAAGTAAATTCTGTTCCATCTTCAAGCGAAATTTTTTGCGGAATAACGTATTTCTGAAATTTACGTGTTTTAATAATTGAAATCAAAATTTCCATGGTAACAGCGAGGGCGAATTGTTTAAATTGGGTAGGCGTGTGTTGGGTGTTAATAATAAGTATCAATATAGAGTTACTTTCATGGATGTCAAGTCAGGGAAAGGTGGGGGTGTCTAAATTTGAAACGGAAGATGTATTAACCCTAGTCTGGTTGGCGTGTCTATGGAGATTTATTTATTTTTTTATATTTTATTTTTATGAAAGGGATTTGTGCATATAAAAACTGCCGTAACGTTCATCTTCCATTTCACACACACACACACACACACACACACACACACACACACACACATATATATATATATATATATATATATATATATATATATATATATATAAATAAAAATTTCAACTTGCACTTTGAAATTCGAAGACGGACGATAACGGTTAACTAGTAAATTTCAACTTGCACTCGAAAGAGTTAAAAGAGGTAAACAGATGATTTGTAATGATCGGGGAAACATCCTCTTGGGAGTCAGTTCCGGAGAGCAATGGTTTGCGGGAAGAAGGTGCTTGTGTAGAGCTGACTTTTCACCGATGGAATATGAAAGGAATGTG